GCAGGGGGGGGGGTGCTGTGGAGGCACCAGGTGGAAGAGCAGCTCCCCTGGGGGCTTGGCAGCAGAGTTTTGTTGGGTTTATTTTTTTCCCCAGCTTCATTTCCAAACTTTCCCAGGAAAAAACCACCCTGAGCCAAGCCCCTTCCCGCTCCCCACACCAAAGGGCTCCTGCTTCACCCACACCGGGTGGCTCTGCCCATCCCATCCCCATTCCCCCATCCCCATCCCCGTCCCCGCGGGCACTCACGCTGGAGGAGAGGCGGTAGGCGGGGGTGGACTGGTAGATGTCGTTGGCGTGGGTCTGGGGGTTGGGGCAGCGAGCGGTGGCCTGGCGCTTGCCCCTGCCCGTGGAGCGGCTGTGCATCATGCAGGGCTGTGCTGCCGGCTGGCTCTCCTGGCTGGTTAGGGACAGGCAAGGTGGGGGGACGGTGGGGACCCCATCCCCAGCTGGCAACACCCAGCCTCGGGGCTCCTCCAGCCCCAGGGCCATGGCTGAGCCCCCCCCGGGCACCGCTGGGTCATTTCACACACCCCCCCCCGGCTCCCTGGGGTGAGGGGAGCAAATATGGGGGTGCAGGAGCCCTGGGGGTCCCACTGCGGTGCTCCCCCAGCCCCACGGCCACCAGTGCTGGGAGGAGGGTGGTGAAGCTGCTGGGGGGGTGGGGGGCTGCCTTGGAAGAGCCCCCGGTTGCCACCAAAGCCCAGCCGAGCCCGGCCCGGGGGGATTAGTGGGTAAATCCCCCGGGATGAGGGACGGGGCCCCCCCGGCCGCACGCACCACTGCACCCAGCTGCCGCGTCAGCACAGCGGGGACACACCGGGGACGGGGACCCGGGGGACAACCCCATCCCCCTGCCCGGCTGCCCCCCGGGAGGGGACGGAGGGGCTGCGGGTGCTGGGCAGGGCCATTTTAGGGACAAGGACACCCGCGGGGCTGGGGGGGCCCCCGGCGTGTGTGTGGGGAGCCCCGCAGGCAGCGAGGTGATCACTTGTGGGGCATGTCCTCCACGCTGACGCGGCCCCAGACGCCCACCACGAAGGTCTCCACCTCGCACTCGTTGACGCCGCGGGCGATGCGGAAATGGCCGCCCTCGCCCCACGCCGTGCCCCAGGAGTTGGCCGCCGTCTGCAGAGGGGAGAGGGGACACGGCTCAGCCCCCAGTTGAACCCCCTCCCCTGAACCCCTACCTCAGCTGGATCCCACCCGGGGGAAGCAGGCACTTCCACCCACCCCAACATCTGAGCCCCAACAAACTCATGACACCCACACCAACACTCACCCAGTATTTTTGGGTCTGGCCATCAGGCAGCTGCTCTTCTCCCCACCTGCATTGGAAAGGCAGGGCAGTGAGGCGGGGGGGGGAGGTTTTGGGGCACCCCGTTGTGGGGGTATCCCCC